CACCCACCACTTCACACACCGAACACTGTCAACTCCTAGATACATCTCATCTCTCCCTCTTGTAACCTACCTCAGGCTATCTAGACTCAGTGTCCCTTCATCGTCCCTCATGTGTGGCAGCCAACCCTGGCCCTCAACCACCAGCACCCTTCCCTCTATGGGGCTACCAGAAGGGTCCTTCTGATGGCCTCTGCCATTCCTCTACTTCAAACACTGTCCTCGCCACCTGCAACTACACATACCATGCCCAAGGCCCTCCAGGACTTGTCCTCTGCTGACGTCTCCAGGGCCACCTCCTGTGACCCTCCTGTCACTGCCAGTCCATACACAGAGCAACCCTGAGCTGCTGGATAATCCTGTGGCTACTCCCTTATATACTGTTTCCCTGGACCTTCGCGGACACTCCTCTCTCCCTCTGTCTGTCCATCTGGCAGACTCCTCCCAGACTAAGCAAGGGGCTCCCCGGGTCTAGTTTCTCCAGCCCTGCAACACCAAAGAGGGCAGCTGGCCGTTCCCGAGATCATCGTTACCGGCTTTGTCGAAACTATTATGTGTTACTAAAGCCTCAATATTCTCATCTAGAAGTGGGGACTAAAATGACACCTGCCTGTCAGGGTTGTGGTGAGAATTAAATCAGACAGTGTGAGTGTGTTTTACACTCAGCCCAGGGCCTGACACAGCAAATACTCAAAAATAAGAGCTGCTGTCATTATTTATGCCAGAGGGCCAAACATCATGGTTTGATCTTGGTAGTCTTGTAACTTTGTTTAATTGGCATGGAGATGTTTTCCTGGGGATGAGGGTGCTTTATTTCTATATCCTGCCCCATGCCAGCTCCTTCAGCTTAATACCTGGATTCTCAGAAGCTGCAGGCTTCAGAGTAGAAATTACTCAGAAATCGGGCAGGCCTTGGGAATAAAGGCATAGCAAGAAGGTTCTCAAGTACCTCGCAGGTAGCCAATGCGTCAGGACTCTGAGAAGCAACAATTCTTCCACACCGTGATGCTGTGCTTCCCACCACAGGCAGGACTTCTCTGCTCATTTCACAGAGGGGTATCCAGGAGCAGCAGGGTAAATAACTGATCCGAGCCTTAGAGACTTAACTCCTGATAACCTCTGTGATCTGGCCCCTTAGGAAGGAAGGAGATGCTGAGGGCACATTCTCTGAGCACCTATCTATCAGACCTCAGTTCTTGCCCCCCTGGAAGAGTGCCAGGGGTGCAGATGGCCCTCTCAGAAGTTGCCCAGCTGCCTGATCCTACTGCCCAATTCTCCTGTTAGTACAAGGCCTTTAGAAATTCCCGGCTGGTTGTAAAAAAGAAGGAAATGTTACCTTTTGATGAGGCAGCATGGATGGACCTAGAGGGTATTATGCTAAGTGCAATAAACCAGACACAGAAAGACAAGCAGCATATGATTTCACTTATTGGTGGCACCTAAAGAACAAAATAAACAAACAAAATAGAAACAAAGCACAGACTGACAGCTATCAGAGGGGATGGGGTGAGGGGCTGGGTGAAAAAGGTGAAGGGATTAAGAAGTACAAATTGACAGTTACAGAATAGTCACAGGGATGTAAATTGCAGCATAGGGACTGTAGTTAATAATCTTGTGATAGCTATGTACGGGGCCAGGTGGCTACTTGAAACATTGGGGGCAATCTCTCTGTAAAGTACATGATTTTCTAACCACTATGCTGTATTTCTAAAACTAATACAGAATAATATTGAATGTAAATTATAATTTTTAAATTATATATATAATTATATATAATTATTTAAATTTTATAAAAAAGAAATTCCTGGTTTTGATCATTGATGTAGCCCCAAGGAAGGCAGGACAGAGCACTGAGTGACATGTCTTTCATTCACCTTTGCAGTGGGCATTGCTGAACCCAAATCATCAAATTTGTGTGGGAATAGAGCCTATGGAAAGTCTTTGGTGAGTATCTAGCCTGGGTGGTTATATCTCTTTTGCCCTGTCTGGGCCATAACAAGAGACCAGTGTCCTTTGGGCCAGTTCTGAGGGTTGTAGAAAGCAGGCCCGAGGGTTGCTTGCTCCCACCATCTGTTTGTTCGTGTGCCGCACACTCCTGGCTGCGGCTGTCTTTCTTGCCAGAAATCCTGCTCCTAGGCAAACAGAAGGTGTCACCTGGCGGACATCTCAAACATAGGGGGATAGAAGCATTTCTATGGCTGGCCCCTACCAAATGGGAATGGCTATCAAGTTCCCAAGGGCAGCTACAGGAGAAAGAGATGTAAGGGGTCTCAAGTGTTGTGAAAACATAGAACACTACTCATCTCAGGATGGAAAGCTGCTGGAGGGCATCTGCTCAGCTCAGGTTCTCTGGAAGCTGACCCTGAGGTTTAGGGTGTAGGGTGAGAGATGTACAGTAGGGATCAATATCTGTGACAGGAGAAGGGTGGCAGGATTGGGCACTGACACAAAGGCCCAACCTTATGGGCATGAACATGGGCTCCCTCTGGTTAGCAGAGTAGGGGGTGGGGTCATGGCTGGAGGTGAGGTTGGCTTGGGCATCCTGTGCTCAGTGAACAGCAGCCCTCAAGATTCATGGATTGTGCCATGTGAGAACTAGAAGAGACCCGACATTGTCTGGCCCAGCCCCTCAGCCTTACAGAACAAATTGCACAGAGAGGTGAGCACTTCACTCCTGGTCTGAGCAGGAAATCTAAGTATCTCGTCTAAGTCACCCCTATCCCAGGAAAACCACATGACAGGCCGGGATGGGACAAGCTGTTTTGTCAGGAACCCCTGTCCCAACCTAGTACTTCAGGGAAACAGGATGACTGGGCCATTGCCACAGAGGGAAGGCTGTCAGGCTGTGATAGCTCAAACAGATGGGCTCAGCCAAGCCCAGGGGAAGACTCACACTAAACGGAAGAGGGGCTCACAGCCTGGATTACCAGCCCTCAGGCCTGAGGCCGGGCTCCGTGTCTTTGGCAGAGAGGTACCTGCAGCTGGGAGGCCAGAACAAGTTAGGATCGGATAGGGTGGTGACGGGGACACAGTTACAAAAGGGAGGCAATAATAATGCAGAAGACAGAGAGGCAGCATGATTAACCTTTTCTCTGGTCCTGAGACAGTGGGGCTGGGGTCCTACAGCTCGTCAGAGGCTGGAGAGCAATTCAGAGCTCGCATGTCTTTGTATGATTGAACATTGCAATGCCCTGGAGGACATCAGACTAAGGGCAGTGGGGAAGAAGGCTGCGGGTGGGTATAGGCTCCCCAGGGCTGTTGGCATGATGGGGAAGGAGAGTTCCCTAGAGGCCACAAGGTGGCACAGTAACTCTGCCCACAACCTCTGGCTGGCTCAGGAGAGAAGGGGAAGATGAATCATGGTGTCCTTGACCTGGAATCTCTCAGCAGTTCCAGGAATATGGTGACCTTTAAGCCTTCAGTGGGCCTTGAACAAAGCCCAGTATATGTCCATTGAAAGAGCAAATTCTGGACTTAACCCCGGGTTAGGCCATCAGTTAATTTTCACTTCAGTACATGTTTCATGAGTACTCACCACCTGTTTTAGGAAAGTTGAGGAGGGCCACCAAAGGCTTAAGTCCCAGGCCCTGACACACACCACACCACATTTCTGGGGACTAGGAAACTGGACAAACATATGAAATAAGTAGAGAACCATAAAAAGAACTGGTGGGATACTAAAACAGTCACAGGCATGCAGTGCTGTGGGGACATGAAGACAGAGAGAAATCAACTTCGGCCATCAGCCTGACGGAAGGCTTCCTGGAGGAAGTGGGCTTGAAGGGCAGGCAGAGATGAGGCTCAATCCAGACTGGGAAGGAAATGCCAAGTGAAGATGCAGAGCTGGACATGAGCACTGGGGAAGGCAGGAGAGGTTCTGCTGGGACTGGAACTGCTGACACCCATGGGAATGACAGAAGGCTGAGCTGGGAGATGGCAGAAGGCAGAGCTGCACAGATGAGGTGGAGTTGGCTCTGCTGAGCCTTGAAGAGCAGGTGCAGAGTTAGCCTCGGTCTGCCCCACAGTGGGAGGCCCTGCAAATCCAGGAAGGGCCTGGGATATGTGGCAGGTCTGGTTGGAAACAAGGAGGCCCCAGGTGACTGGCCCTGAAGGCTACAGCAGAGGAAATAGAGAGGATGGCAGAAATCTAGGCAGTATTTCAAAGTAAGAACCTGCAGGACTTGACCACAAAGGAGATACAGGCAATGGAAGCGTGAGGGGAACAGAGTTCTCAGTTAATATTGAGTTGCTTTCTCTCAACTTTGTTCTCAAAGTGGGGTTCTGGGACTGGCAGCACCTAGAAACTTGTTAGAAATGCACATTCCCAGGCCCACATCAGACCTACTGAATCAACACCCAGCACGGTGCTAACAAGCCCTCCAGGGGAGTCTGATGCCCACCCAAGTGTAAGGACTATTGGCCTGGGATGGAGGTGGTTCGGTTTAGTCATCCCCCTTTCAAATGGTTCCAGTTGTGCTAGAGTTGGGGCCCTGGCTACATCCCCACATTCTCTTCCCCTCCCTCACAACCCAGATTCCTCCAGTGGCCCGGATCTCAGTGAAGGCGCCCGCAGCTGTCCTGGAGGTGGCAGCCTCCGGCTCAGAGAACAGAGCTGTTCTGACAAGAGGGTAAGTGCTGTGCCTCCCAGCCTGTTCCCTGCAGAGCACCCCACCTGCTGGGAAGGGGGTGCTGCTACAGAAGAATAACAGGTGGCCTGGTGGATGGGACTCTCAAGATGCTAAGACAAAATTTGTGCCAGCTGCAAATTTCCCCTTAATGAGGATAATAATCCTGGGTAACTGCTTCCCTAGGATGAAGCTGAAGCAAGTTTAATGGTTTCCACTTCATTAACACCGCTCTTCAGACTTGGAGAACTGTCATTTGGAGGATTTTTGGTTAATTAGATAAATGTAATCACAGGCCATATTCAGAGCCTCCCATAGGCATACTGAGGTCAGAAATGCTTCCTGATTTAGGTTCAGGGCCCCTGACCAAAGGTAAAGACGTATGCAAGATCAAAGATTTCAAACCTAACCTATCACCCCATGTTATTGTTACCTGTGATCCAGAGCCAGCAGCTAGAGGCGCAGGAGTGGGTAATCCCCCAGCAGCCCCCTCACTGCCTACAATGGTGCACTAAGAAGGTGGTAGGCAGGAGTCTTAAACTCAGTTTGCCTTGTCTGTTTATGTCCCCACCACTGTCCTCCATGCTGCAGGTGTCAGTCAAGTGGTGCTGCTCACCTGGCAAGCCACTGCCTTGCTATGACTTCAGGCAAAGTTATTCAGACCTCCATGTCCTCACTTTTTTTTTTTTTTAAGATGGGGAACATAAATGTACCCCCTGGAGGGATATTGTGAGAATGAATGAGATAATGTGTGAAAAGCTTAGCGCAAACTATTGCTATCATTTTTCAAGAAACTTACAACTTAGTAGTTGGAAAGACACATACCAGGGAACGTGTTAGATGCAGATGTGTCAGGGACCATGGGCTAAAATATCAACCTGAGTGGTGCACACCTTGAACGCTGTGGGAGTCCTAGGAGAAACAGACCAGTGCAAAGCCCTTCTAGGTGAAAGAAAGCCATCTAGGAAGAAGTATAAAAACCAAGTCACTCAACATATTGGGACCTAATTGCTGAAGACTAAAACAATTGGATTGTATTAAGTTCTAGGAGTAAATTGTTCTCAGCAGAAATGGCTTTTGGTGACGCCTGGAGTAAGCCAGCAAAAACTTAGTGTCCCAACAGAGACCGACCTTACCCATCCAGGAGCTGCATTGCAAGGGTTCTAAATGCACCCTTTTCTCTAAGCTCAGACTTCTCTTCTCAATTTGTTCCTGGGCCCTGGCTATTGACAAGGAAGGCAGTTTCTTTCAACTCCGGAGAGAAAGTGAGGAGAAAAATGAGCATTTATGGAGGCCCGCAACGTGCCAGATGCTTTATTTTTTCATTTTCTTCCTCACAAAAGCCCCGGGAGTTTGATGAAAACTACCTTTGCTTTGTGCATGAGTAAACAGGCTGGTGGAGGCTAAGTCACTTGCTTGAGGTTGGTCACACAGTACATGCGAGCAGGATTCAACCCCGGGGCTCATGCTCTTTCAATAGCCAGTGCCCTGGAACATCCACCCTCTGCAGAGAGATTGCTCTGTGGAGGTGGGAGGGGTGGGAAAGTGGAACTGGGACAAGAGTAGAACTTGAAGTCTATAAACCAGTGTGCGCAAGGCTGCCTCCTTCCCTCACCCTATTCGAGGATCCCCCAGGGGGTGTCATTCCTGCATGGGTCCCAACAGTGACCCTTCCTCCTGGTCACAGGACGTGTGAGCAGAGGAGTAAGAGCTCAGGCTACTCTGCTTCAGAGCAAAAAGTAAACGTCTGGTTCAGTGAAATGACTGCCCCCCACACACACCCTTGGCTTTTCTTTAGATCCAGACATCTCAAGAAGATGACTGAAGAGTATCCAACCCTTCCCCAGGGAGCAGAGGCCTCCCTGCCACTGACAGGAAGCGCGACCTGCGGCATCCCCAGCATCCTCCGAAAGATGTGGATGAGACATAAGAAGAAGTCTGAATATGTGGGAGCTACCAACAGCGCCTTTGAGGCCGACTAAAGGTGACCTCGCCGAGGTGCCCTGTGCCAAAGTTCTCCGCACAGAAGGAGGAAGCTGGGTTGGAACGGAGCCATACTTACCTCGGCGAGTAACTGGTACAAACACCTCACCCCCCTCACCACCACCACCCAGTCACCAGGCTTGGGACGCACAAAAGGAACTTCCCTCGAAGGCAGAAGGAGACTGTTCCTTCTTAGAATCACTAAAGCCCTGGTCTGAATGTGGCTTTGGGAGGTTGTAAGTCTATATCCCTATTTTTAAGCAAAATCACACCAACATAAAGTTGGCCCAACCCATTGTAAAGACCTCCAAGAAAGGAAGCAGGTGATTCTTCTACCTTCCTTTGACTCATTCTAATGCGTGTGATTTCTAGTGTAAATGTAAGAGCTTGATGTTTGAGGCACCTGTAAACACAATGGTTCTTACTGTTCCTGTTGTCACATTTATTTCATCTTGACAGATAGAATTTTCAATGATAAAGCACTATGTATTTAATTAGTAGTGCAAATATTCGCTTCAGAGTATCCTCAAGGTGGGTTTTGATTTTTTGGCATGATTGCATGAATTCTCTATTCTTTTACATGCAGGTTTCTATATAAAAACAATTAAAAATTAAATGTTGAATGCTGTTTTCTGAAATGGCATAGTCTAGTGGAATTAATAATACCTTGTTTTGGTATAATGATTTCAACTTTTGAAAGTGCTTTCCCATCAGTTATCTCTTATCTTCACAAAATCCCTGTTAGAGAGAACACAGTTGTTCCCAATCTCCAGATGGGGAAGCCAGGACCCTAAAAGGTTGTATGACTAGATTCCTGACAATGGAACTAGATTCCAGGTCTTCAACTTCTCCACCAGACTCCTTGTTTTGCTCACCCTAGCAGCAGATTTGAGGAAGGTTTTGAAGCGCAGAAGTATGTCTATGAGAGCAATCTTTGAAGGGAAGGATTTGATAAAGTTGGAACAATAAGTGATCTGGGGTTTTTTTGTTTTGTTTTGTTTTTCACAAACAAAACTTTTTATTGTATTATTTCCCCCCCCAAATTCCCAGATACAGCAACTTTATATGTATTTTGGAAAACTTAAGAACAGTATGGGAAATTATTTGAAATTTTTAAGCAAGAAAGCTTCAGAGAACTCTGATACTGTTGAAAAATTCATTTGGGTTCAAATAGTACATTTTCTTTCTTTATGTACCCATCATTAAAATGTCTTTTATTAATTTATGTTTTATTAAATGTATTAGGTGACATTGGCTAATAAAATTGTATAGATTTCGGGTGTACAATTCTATAATATATCATCTATATATTGTATTGTGTGCTCACCAACCCAAGGCAAGTCTCCTTCCATCACCATTTATCCCCCCTATACCTTCTGCCTTTCCCACCCCTTCCCAATAAGTGACTTGAATGAAATACATCACTATGCATTAGGACAAACCAGAAGAAATTGCCACGTTTCTAGGTCAGAGCCAATTAACTATCATTTTCATGTAGTTTTACCTAATGTATAATATTGTGCTTTCCTTCTTTCAATGGAAATCTCATTATCACTTCCATTGTCAACATCAGTAGCCTTAAAGATAATATGATAATGATAGCTATCATTTACTAAATGCCTACTATGTGCCAGGCATGATTCTGAGCACTTTATGAACAATTATCCTAATCTTTCTAACAACTCTGAGTTAGGGAGCCTTACCCATTTAATAGATACCAGTTTAAAGTAGTTAAATCATTTGTCTGAAGGCACCTAATCATATGGGTGTCAGGCTTCAATGCTTGTGTTATATCTACTCTTTCACACAGAATAGTTCATAACATAGAGAAGCACCAAAGTTAATAAATAATTTTGATCTCAAATGCTAGCTGAGGCTACCTGGAGTTCTGTGTGGAGATGGAATCTGGGATGAAGGTGTATGGTGATCAATTAGTAATGCCTGTCTGCGGAGGAGCTCAGTGGCATATAACTTGTGTATTGTCATCTGTGGCTTCAACTGTGCCCCACAGAAGCTTAAATTATTCCCACTAACTCAAAAGTTTTCTAATTCAGAAGTTTAAATTAATCCAGCTCACTTAACAAAACCTGATGGTCCATGGTAAAATTTAATCTAAGGCTAGGTTGGAAAGTGCCATGTCTTGGTACAAAGAATTTAGCCACATTACTCTTCAACTCAAGTGCTGTTTATATGCTGTGGCGGTTACCTAGTTCCAAATCTCCAGGTGAACCATTAGAAGGCATGGAGGTGGGGGGTTAAGAGGCCTCAGCTTTTGGACTTTTGCCTTGCTGATCTCTGCTCTTCAGCCTTTGTTTTAGATTCTGTACACTCAGTCCTTGCATCAGAACACAATTTGGAGATCAGAGTATCAAGTGCTCTTTCAATGAGGGCCTAGTCTCAAGGGACTAATAGTCTCACCAGGTAGATGATGGGGCCTGGAACAAAGTTAGGGAGCAAACAGGTGATTTGTGCTGGACCTATAAATCAGAGTATACTAAAACTATTTATTTTAACTTATTTAATTTATAACTGATATCCTCTATTTGTATGTGGCAGCTGGAGATTTCTGTAGAATGGAATTAACTTATTTATTTTTACTTTAAGTATTTCATGATGAAGTATTTACCTTATATAAAACATTTTCATTGGCTAATTCAAATAAAAATAAAATATGCTTTGTGACATTAATAAACCACCACAACAGCATGCCTGAGGCTCCCTCATTGAATGAGAGCGAAGACTTTCACAGACAGAATTATGCATTGCTTCTTTATTTTAATGAAAAAGATTGTGAGAAAGAACCCAGAATGTTCGTTTCATCCTAAGGCAATATCTGGTTTTGATATTATAGTCCCTGCCCAGCAGTCAACACCAGGGCCATTTCTGATGGGGCCTAACCTGGCCCAGCCTGGCCTCTCTGGGCTCACCCTTCTCCCTGCTGATGCTGACTCCTTAGTCTCCACCATAAACCCCAGGGGGCCTAATGACCATCCCCAGCCTGCTGGCCTCTCACCCCTGAGGTGGGGGAAGATGTAGATTTTTTCCTCTGTGCTCACCTCATGGTCAGCCTCACTGGAGACTGCCCACTATGACTCATGTCACAGCCACTTGCAGAAAATGCCAGGGCTAGCTACAGAGGGCCATCTGGGAATGCCAGAGCCTGGAGTCTTCTAACACCAGAGGCAACAGGGTTTCCAGGACATTTAGGGTAATAAAATCGCCTCTGTTAGGACCATGTCCAGTCAAATATTTCAGTTCTTATTTGCGTGCTCTCTGCTCTCTGTGGCAGTCCCCCATACCCCTCCCAGTACTTGGGTTGCCTTTCGAGCAGACAGATGGGCAGTGGGTAGGAAAAGCAGCAGCAGCCAGGGCCCAATTTTAAAAGGAATCATGTGACATGTTGACTCTAAATTGGCAGAGACCTAGGGACAAGCAAGAAAAACACAGACAAAAACATGAATCTCCTAAGAATTAGAATTGCATTTAGTTTTTAATTTCTTATAAGAATGTCTAGTAAATGCATCACCACAAGGCAGGGGGAGAGAGATATTCTTCAGACAAGGCCATGTGCCTAGAAAAAATTGGGGGGAAAGAGTCACTTTGGACCCAAGACGAGATTCACATCTATTAATATCCTTTGTTGGGAGAGAGCATATAGGTTGGGGAAAGGTGTGTGCTGCCCAGGGAGTGGAAGCAAAAGGACACACCCTAACATCACATATTCATTGACAGGACAGCTGGCTGTGCCAGCCTGGCTCCTAGCCCCTGTTGAGGGCTATGGAGGAGCCAACTAGAGAAGCTCTTACCTTCCCACACCCCTCACTCCAGGAGACCTCAGAAGTCCCTCGCCCTGAGGTGGACTCTCAGAGCATAGATTGCCATGAGGCTAAACCCCCTTCCCCAGGAGGCAAGCAGCCAGGCCTTTGCCTGTTGGCCTAAGAGGGACCCGTGGTTTTCCAGGAAAGACAGGGGATCTGGATCCTGCCCCAGCCCCAAATACGGAGGGGTACCTGGAACTCTGGCCAAGTGCTGACCAACATTTCAGACTCCATCCACAGGAGAGCATATTGAGTTTTCTACTCTTTGACCGTCTGGGCCCAGGCACTCTTCAGGGAGGCTTGACTTCAACATCAACCAGCTTTTGCTCACATCAGATCCCACGGAACTCAGGATTCTACCCAGCCTGGCTATTATAGGGGCAGCAATCTAGGGGGACATCAGGCGTTAGGACGGCCTGATGAACGACATGGCTATTTTTAAAGTGCCACAGCTAATGCTCCAAGTGTGGAAATGGTTTCTTTGCTTCACTCAGGGCTAGTTCTGATCACAGGAAAACTGTGGGGTGAGCAGGCTTGTTCTGTTTTTCAGTTTTCCCCACCCCAACCCCTGCCATCTTCCCAGGCAGCCCGAGCACACACACACACACACACACACACACACACACACACACACACACATCCTTTCTGCTCCTTTCCTCCTTGCCTCACACTGTGTTCCTGGACCTCTGGTGGGGCCTGAGCCCTCCTGGCATCCTCTCACTGCCCAGGGCTCCCGCCTCCTTCATCCCACCGAGGGCCTCCCATCTTGGGTATCCCATGCTCTGAATTTCCGACTGCCAGAAACACTCACTGGCTATGAGAGCTTGAGGAGTGTTAAACATCATGGGGACTCTGTTTCCTCAGTAGTTGAAAAAATGTAGTCTCTTCCTTCAAATGTTCTAGAAAAGATTAAATGAAATAATTGGCATTAATATGTAACTGGTAGGTGGTGTGTGTGAGAAAGTGTGGCATTGCTTCCACACTGGCTGGTAATGGCTAATGCCCAGAGTTCCCCCTTGGCCCTGGTTGCCCAGCCCTCCCCTGGGACTCCCTCAGACCACCCCAAGGATCAGCAGCTGTGGGTAATGCCTGGCACTATGGAAGGGCAAGCGGGGGCTCCAGGACCCGCTCAGTACTGTGACCAATGTTTGTTCTCATTGGTCCTTTGCCGAAGCTAAGCC